AGCCAGCTGGGAGTCCAGCCAAAACCAGCTATATCCAGCTTAAACCAGGCTGGTCAAGCTGGTTTTAGCTGGATTTGGATGGTCATTTTCCAGCCTGACCAGCTAAGACCAGGCTGGAAATGGCTGAAAACCAGCCTGGAAATGGCCAAAACCCCTCTAAAACCAGGCTGGTCAACCAGCTAAAACCAGCCTACCAGCCTAGGCTGGTTTAAGCTGGATTTTTCAGCAGGGCATAGACAATTGCCTTCAGATGACCCCAAAGATAAAAGTCTAAGGGGGTCAGATCGGGAGACCTTGGGGGCCATTCAACTGGCCCACGATGACCAATTCACTTTTCAGGAAACTGTTCATCTAGAAATGCTCGGACCTGACAACCATAATGTGGTGGTGCACCATCTTGCTGGAAAGACTCAGGCAACGTGCCAGCTTCAGTGCATAAAGAGGGAAACACATCATCATGTAGCAATGTCAAATATCCAGTGGCCTTGAGGTTTCCACTGATGAAGAATGGCCCGACTATGTTTGTTGTCTATTTTGTGAAGATATAAGATGTGCAGCACCTGAAACTACGTATACTGGAAGTCTGTGCTGGCATTTCTCCTGCGGTGTTGCTATCAGTGTGTGAAGAGTGGGAGAAGAGGGTTGCATTGACAATCCAACACAATGGGAAGCACATTGAACACATTTTATAAGTGGTCAGAAACTTGTGAATAACTCATGAAAGATTAAATTACATTAAAACTAAGCACACCATTGATTTTCTAGTGAAATTCCCAATAAGTTTGATGTGTCACATGACCCTTTTCTATTGAAAAAAACTAAGATGGCCAACTTCAAAATGGCCACCATGGTCACCACCAATCTTGAAAAGTTTGCCCCCTCACATATACTAATGTGCCACAAACATGACGTTAATATCACCAACTGTTCTCATTTTATTAAGATGTATCCATATAAATGGCCCACCATGTATATTCCAAGTTTACTTACCTTTCCCTGTGATCTCCAGTGTTTGCATCTCTCCTCCCTAGTGTGGTATATCCGGGTCCCACCTCTGGTTGTCGTCGATCCCCAAATCTGTCTATGTGCTTGGCTTTTCTGCAATAACTCCTCCAGTCCCTCCAATTGAATCGGTAAATAAGGGCACTAGTCAAAAATATGAAGTAAGTTTATTTGATGTATTTGTGGTGGAGTCTATTCAAGCCTTTCTGAAAATGATGAGTCACACCCAAATGCTGTTTGCAGTACACACACACACACACACACACACACACACACACACACACACACACACACACACACACACACACACACACACACACACACACACACACACACACACACAGACACACACACTCATTCACATATGCACATTTAATGGGTTTCTGCAGGTTTCAGAAGAGTTAAATTTAAGACTTTAAGACATTTTAAGACCATAATGATTGAAATTTTAGACTCATAAAGCCCTAAAGCATGAGGGATTTTCAAATGGCCAAGATAGAAAAGATTTTTATTTGCCCTATAAATTTTTTTTATTATAATTTAATACATTTAATAATACAATAATACAATAATAATAAAAAATATGTTAAATTCAAAATATGTTAAATATTGTGTAAAAACATTTGAGCTCTACTTGCATCCATACACTTTTTTCAACATAAACTTTCTTTAAAATAAAAAAAAAATTAACAAATGTTTTAAAAGTTTTAAAAACTAAAATAAACTAAATCTACATAGAAAACTTTTAAAGAAATGTTATTTTAAGGAAAATAAATAAACCATTATGATAAATGGATTTAAAAATTACCATTTAAAAAAAGAGTTCACAGTTTTATTGAGATGGATTATTGATGATTGTATGGGTTTTGGCCAGGTTGGGTAGCAATTTATAAACAAAGGAAAATTAAGACCTGTTTAAAAAAGATTTAAAACCTACAACACAATATTTTAGTGAATTTAAGACTTTTTAAGGCCTAAAATTTGGATTTTTGAGATTTAAGACATTAAGAACCAGCAGAAACCCTGAGCAGTTAAGAATCCTATAGTGATTTTACTCACTTTATTACAAACATGCACTGTTTTAAAAACATTTAAACGTATAAAATTAATTGTTGAGGTGCAGCTGATCACAGAGTTGTAACATATTACATTCTGGTCATCGATTTCCATCCTGCATATCATCTACATTGAGATCCGTTTAAACTCTGGCATCCTATTTAAGCCCTTGTTTTCACTGAATGGTACAGTTCAGTTCAGTATGGAGGCGCCACCTTTTATCAGGCTTGTGTCTCCACTGCCAAATGGTACAGTACTAATGATATAATTTTGGTGGCCGTGGTATATGACAGAAAGTTGCAGTCGACGTCATTCTCACTCAAAGAAATGTCAAAGTAAAGCTATATGGGTCATTTACATATCATATACAAAAAAGATGCTTTATAATAGGCCTACTGGTGAAAAAAATGTTAATAACCTTTCCCTGAACATGATTTGCACAACTACACTACACAAGTAGGCCTATTATCAAGATTGTATTTTTTTTAGCCAGTGGCGTGGAACAAACTCCACCAACTGACAAAAGTGAAGGATAAAAATTCTCGAGAGAAACCAGGCTCGGTTGGGCACAACCATTTCTCCTATGGCCAAACTTCTTGTGCAGATCATTGATTAACTTTTAAATTTTTAATACAAATATTGTAAGTTTTTTTTTTTTTTTTTTTTTTTTGATGATGTGGTTTGAAGTCTAATGCTAGTGCCCACACCCCTCCAACTGTTGCTGTGAGTGAAAGAAGAGAGGAGCACAAAACCCTGCCTCCTTTTCTACACAGCACTTCCTTTCAGTAATAAGTCATCCATCTAAAACAATAATCTGCAGCAACTTTCTGTTTCCATGGATTTTAAAAGAGTAAAATCTAATAAAATAAATAAATAATTGAAAAACGTAACTTTTTTTCAGTCTTATTTAGCTCGCTGTGCCTTTGAGAAAGTCAGGCCTGAAGCTGCAGTGGCCCAGTTGCATGACCTTCAAGTGCTGCAGAGCATATTTTAGAATGAGTGGGAGAAAAGGACAGTTCTAACTTTAGTCATTCATTCATTTTCCTTCAGCTTAGTCCCTTTGTTCATCAGGGGTCGCCACAGTGGAATGAACCGCCAACTTATCCAGCATATGTTTTAAACGGCGGATGCCCTTCCAGCCACAACCCAGTACTGGGAAACATTCATACACACTCATTTACACACACACACACACACACACACACACACACACACACACACACACACTACGGCCAATTTAGATTATTCAATTCACCTATGTTTTTGGACTGCAGGGGAAACCAGAGCACCTGGAGGAAACCCACGCAAACACGGGGAGGACATGCAAACTCCACACAGAAGTGCCAACTGACCCAGTTGGGACTTGAACTAGCAACCTTCTTGCTGTAAGGTGACAGTGCTAACCACTGAGCCACCGTTTTGCCTTCTTACCAAAGAGCATAGAATCACCAAGAGGCGACACTCTAGCGCAATTTGGGAAACAGGCTGGAAAGTGACCAGCTAAATCCAGCTAAAACCAGCTTGACCAGCCTGGTTTAAGCTGGGTATAGCTGGTTTTGGCTGGGCTCCCAGCCTGGCTAGGCTGGCCAAGCTGGTTTAGCTGGTCATCTCCCAGCCTAACCAGCTAAGACCAGGTTGGAAATGACTGGAAACCAGCCTGGAAATGGCCAAAACCCCTCTAAAACCAGCCTGGTCGACCAGCTAAAACCAGCCAACCAGCCTAGGCTGGTTTAAGCTGTTTTTTTATTTCAGTAGGGGCAGCATACCAAACAAGGGGAAAGAGGCAGAGCTTGATCATAGCTACAGACGCATGCTGGCATTTTGCTTAGACAGGCTTTGCTATGGGAGAAAAGCTAAATACTTCATTACCTGCGACTCGTTTTTTTTCTGACCGCATGTGCTTGGTTGTACACTATATCAATACAATGTTTAGTCTTTTAAAAACACTGTGTAATACATTGAGCCACTAAACATTGTTCATATGATGTTTTCCAACAGGAGGAAAGTGCAAGCTACTTCCAAACACTTCAGATATAGTCTGTTTTAATAAATGCTAGACTAATGATGGAATTCAGGCATAACACTGTATGACAACGCTTCAGATGACTGAAC